AGGACATATTTTTCAGTTGTATTTATATGAAAACTGAATGTTGGATCTCAATCAGAATTTGTTTTCAGTTTTATGGCTTTATAACTTTATAAGTATATTTATGAAACCTATAACTGAATTTTCTTGATCTTCAGGCATCGTAAGTCAGAAAGATTGAGATTGTCTGGACTTTATGTATAAACACAAATTTATTTGTATATTGGAAATATCGAAATATTATTACATTTTGGATATTGATGACCTTTTTCAGAGATTTAATTTTAAATTTACAATGTTTAATGAAACATAAATTTTTAAGTTTGTGAAAATCAAAAAAATTCTAAAAAACTATTATAAATATTCATTAGTCATTATTATCGCAAAATGTTATGATAGGTATATGGTATTTTTATCAAATATTTAGTTGATTACTTGATACTTATTAGTTTTTACTGTAGGTAGTGTTATGGATTTTTAGTACTTGTATGTTTATGTTTGATAATCTAATAAATAGCAGGGTCAATTATAGAAGTATTGAAATATAAAAAATATAAATATAAAATGTTACTTAGCATATTTTATGGTTTTATTTATTTGAACATATTTTCGTATATAAGTTTTTATAGATTTTTTTTTCAAAGTATTCTGCCAAAAATAATAATATCATTCATAGAGATCTATTTAAAAAATATAAATATAACATTATAATTAGCAACATTATGTGCCTTTTTCRCGATGATATAATATCTTTGCACCACTCGACGCCGATTACCATCAAAATATACCTAATAACTTRGCTTTGTTTTTATTTAAGGATCAGATGGCATTGCTATAGAACTAATATAATTATACAAATACATTTTTGTTTTAGTGGATATTTAATCATTTATTTTGGTTGCATACGAATTGCGTCCCAAAATACGAAAATAGTATTTATAGCGACATCCGAGTTGCGTCCGTGGTTTTTGCACAACACATCTGAGTTTCGTCCGCAATTTTTTCGCGACAAGTACGAGTTGCGTCCTGGTTAATAATTGATTAATTGGTTAATAGTATAGGTACATATCCATACGCCATATACATATTTTCCTTCCCGCTTTTACAGACTGAGGACTGCCATTTGTATAAATGGTGTGGTTTAATGATGTATTGTTATTAATGATTATACAATATACATATATATTAAATTATTTATTGTTCTAAAATGAAATGTTAATTTTATGAAATGGTGTAGTTAAAAACTGTAATTGCATATTATTTTATAAAATGGGTAAATTTGTGTATGCCGATTTTTGAACGAACTAAGACCTGTTAAATTTGTGTTGATTTGTCGAAGTGTGACTGATGCTAACATGACAGAATTCATTTCCAACAATAAATTGTAAGGGTGTATTTATAATTTCCAGGACATATAAGGTATCGATTATTGAGATATCTATACCATCTACGAGTTTATCACTTAACATTATTCTTAGTCGCTGAAAAACCTGTTGACGCAACTCTTATATATGTGACGAGAAAACCGCGGACACA